GGCTGAGTCAAGGTGTAGAGGATGGGGAAGAAGGAGGGCTGTGGAGTCTCAGGCCGTGGATTGGAACTGTGGGTCTGGGTAAAGGGGAAGAGGCGTGTGGAGGTGGGCTCGGGCAGGCAGGGGTCTAAGGGATGGGGATGGGGCTGGGTGTGTTGAGGTGGGTATCAGGGCAATGCTGAAGGCAGGTGCTCTGTGGGGAGGAGGGGAGAGATGCTCTCAAGTTTGCCACCTGACTAGGCTGGCAGGGGTGTACATTGGGGTTACTTTGTATTATTTTGCTTTACAGTACAGGGAGAAAGACAGGAAACTTTGAGAGTTTTTCAGCTAAGTTGCTAATAAATGGGACAGGTGTATTACATGAGGTCTTATTCTCATACCTCTAACTTACCTATTTTAGAGTTTGGTTTAAAGAAGTCTTGAGCATCTGGGACTCCTTCTAATGCTCAGTGTGTCTGGAAATCTGATATTTGGGGGGGGTGAATTGCTTTAATACAAGTTGATACTTGTGCTTTCATTAATACTTTGAATGAAAAAATGCAATAGCAGGATAAAAAGTTACTTTAAAATTCTTTCAGTTATCCTCACAACCTGATAGTCTCTAATTTTTTTTTTTAATAACGTTATGTTGGAGTTTATCTAATCAAATTGATCAGAAAACAGTAGCAGAGTCTTCACTGGCCTGCTGCCATATGGTCCATTACAGAAAAAAATGTAGGCTATCATTCTGTAAATCAGGGATTCATTTATGAAAATAGCTATGGGTCCTGCTGATGTCATTGATGTTACTCATACCAACTGAGTAAGTACATGAGTTTCTGCAGGGTTAGTACTCTGTTGTTGTTGCTAATAGGAAAGCATCTGTCTCATTTAGACTGTATCTAGCTGACAATCACAACTGCAGTGAAAACAGCAGGCTTGAGTTTGGTGCTTGGTGGAGTTATTTTTAAAGCAAAAGTGATTTTTAAATATCTGAAAAGCAAAGTTGCTATTAGAAATGTAGAGAGCATTTCCTGTATAATGTTGCTGTTTTTCTTCGTAGTCGTTTGATGGCGTTAAAAAGAATGGGCATTGTCAAAGACTATGAGGTAGGATTCTATCTGCATTAAAACAGCCTTGCATTTTTTCCCTGTGAGGACCACTTTTGATATACTAATCTGTATTTTATTTCTTTCTACAGAAAATCCGTACCTTTACAGTTGCAGTAGTAGGTGTAGGTGGAGTTGGCAGCGTGACTGCTGAAATGTTGACAAGGTGTGGCATTGGTAAGGTAATGAGAGTTTTCTTTTACTTCTTTATAGTAGATGGACCAGCCTTCTTCATAAAGAGTGAGATTTGACTTCACTCAGTTGATTTTGCCCAAATAAAAAAGTACTATGAAGAAAGCACTCAAGAACAGCACTTGCATAAACATCACAAATGAAGAGTCTATATTTTTCTTATGCTAATAAAACTGATTTACTTAAGGCTTACTCCTGTATCATGTAGATGATTCTTGTTTGGATGCTTGTCTTTTCCGTGCTCTTATATGAGCCCATCTATCTAACCTTCATACTAGATTATTGCAAAAGGAAAACAAAATAAAGAAAAAGGAGGGCATAACTCGCATAGAAGATTAAGTCTTATGTTATGAGAACAAGTTGATATTTATGAAATTGAAATGTGGTAGATGTCAAACAGATATTTTTATCACAAACACTAGTTTGTCATGTGGCAGACAGAGCTAAAAATTTAGCAGCAGTTAAAAATAATTTGATGTGTGTATAGCTAACAAGAACTTCCAGAGTTAATAGAACAGTATTTTTCTTTAAAGGAGGAATCTGGGGAATGGCTTAGGTGTTTGTGTTTCCAGGCAAAGCCTGACCATTTACTCTTGGAACTTTAAGAAGTTTCTTAATACAGAGGTGATGCAATTTTTTATTGCAAAGTTTTTTCTCCCTTCCTCTGAAGGAGTGTTTCCTGAAGACCAGCATCTTGGGCATAGAAAAGGACAGTGGATAGTTGATTCAGAATTTATAATAATCAACAGGTCCATGTATTATGTAGGTCTTTTAAGTTAATTGGTTTTGAAGAACTACATGCCAAGACAAGTGAAAGAAATTACACATTTCTAGTGAATGCCATAACAGCAAGTAGGAATGTCGTAACAGAGTTGATAGTGTTCATATAGGTGATACGTTGAATATTCTTGGTTTAGATTAAATGAACAGATTGCTTTTTGTTAAGAGTGGTTTTCTTGACTTAACAAAGCAGTTCCTGGTGAATGGCAGTTAGAATTCGGTCTTTCATGTACTTACAATGTTGGTAACTTTTGTATGTGAACTGAATGGGACTGCGGGAGTGGGAGGGTGTTTGGTTGGGGGTTTTTGTTGTTGGTTTTAGAATGACTCTTGTTGTTCAGAATGCCTTGCCGTCTTTGGAGATTCACATATGTTAATACAATATTTATTATAGCTTCTTCTGTTTGATTATGACAAAGTGGAATTGGCAAACATGAACAGACTCTTCTTCCAACCTCATCAAGCTGGATTAAGTAAAGTGCAAGCAGCAGAGCATACTTTGAGGTATAACTTAGAGATGTGGGTATCAAAATGTATTTACCCAGGATGCTGCTCCAGAAAACTGATGTTTCATTCTTAATCACTTACAAAGTAGCATGATCTAATTTGAAAATTTGAGTATAAAATATTTGTGGGAATGATTGATACTTTAAAGACATTTTTGTACTGGCCAGAACCTTAATGTAAGTCTACTTTTTAAGTATAGCTAATTTTACTTATAAGTTTGGTATAAACTATACCACTTTGATATGTTGTGATTTTTCTTCTCTCATCTAATCTGTGAATTTTTGACAAATATGGGTGTATTCTAGACTTCAGACTGGAAGCTTAAGACTGTAGCAACACTTGTGAAGTTAGAGAGTAGAATGCAAATTATCATTGTATCTATTAACATTGACTCATATTATTTCCTCCATAAGGAATATTAATCCTGATGTTCAATTTGAAGTACATAACTACAACATCACAACACTGGACAACTTTGAACATTTCATGGATAGAATAAGGTAAAATCTCTCACCTTCTGGTGGTGTGAGGCTTTAAATACAGCCTCACATTTTTATTGTTGGTTTTTTTTCAATTTAATGACTTCCAATTGAAAACCACTGGGAAATATGTATATATGAAGACACTTCTGCCTAGACCTTTTCTCTAGAGTTGGCATTTATTTCTACTGTTACATAGTTGCATTTTACATTAGTGCATCTTTAGATTACCAACCAAAGCTGCAGGTCTTACAGGCTTTTCCCATTATAGAAAACAGATCAGATCATATTATGACTGCTCTGGAGTAGTTTCAGGTGTGCTTTATAGAATGAAGAAAGAAAATAGTTATTAGTGGATTTCACAGAGAAGTTCTGAAATAACTTTTCCTATTTGCAGTTATGTTGCACAAAGATACAATTCTCTGATACTTATATATATACTATATAAAACTTTTTTTAATCTAAAATGCTCATATATTTAAATCCCAGCTTCAGCATGCTGCTGTTTCTACTGCAGATCTAAGATACTAGTTGTATCCTGTTCTGCATTTGCACAAGTTCTGTTAGAAATACACTTCCCATGTGCTTCTGTACCCTAAAGCAGCATGTTGATTGCCATGTTGGTGTTTTGTTCTGCCGGCGATTTCATGCAAACTTCTGATACTTATTTCAGTAACGGTGCACTAGAGGAAGGGAAGCCTGTTGATCTTGTTCTAAGCTGCGTGGACAACTTTGAAGCTCGCATGGCAATTAACACGGTAAGGCCATCGAAGGCATGAGCTTGTGGAAGTCTATTTTCTCCTATAAATAATGTTAGGAATTGTGGGGACTAGAGAAAAGACAGGAACTTAGGAAGAATCGTCTGAGAAATTTCCTCCTTGATTTAAGGAAACAGAATCTGAGCTTTCGTCCAGTTCTTACAAAACACACTTTATGTGTGTAAATATAACTGTGGACTTTTAAGTTACTAGCAGCTAATGCTTAGTAAAAGAGTTAAATGTCGTAAGCTCGCTCTCTCTTTCCAAATTATCCTGTTTATATAAGGGTATTATCAAAGCCTGGTATGTTAAATCTTATAAACTTTTTAAAGACTGTGTATAGCTAATTGTATACTTCATATGACATTTTGTATACTAAAAATGTCTTAAGGCTGTGTACCTAATCAAACTGGTTTTCTTTATAGTAGCAGCCAATGTAGGGTATATGCCAAATGCATGTTTTGTTATCCTTCAGTTAACTTGATCCATAAATTGCATGCGCTGAAGGTACACAAATACACTGTATCCATGCTTCTAAAAGTAGTTTGTGCAATTAGATTCTGTAGTGTGCTAGTAACTGGATCACTAATGCCTGTATTTGTTCAAAAATCTCAGGAAGCGCAACGGGCTGGCTTCATGAGGACAACTTTAATTTGTCCTTTGATAAACAATTTCTATTCTACCTTTTCATGTTCCTTTTTCTGATCATAGCCTTTTTGTTTTAAAGCAGGAAGATCAATGTGTTTAATTGCTCTCAATTTATGTGTGTTTTTTTTTTCTTTTTCGCTCTCTTCATTAAACTTCTGCAGTGCTGATGTGTTTGTTTCTGTGTTTCTAAGGCCTGCAATGAACTTGGACAAATCTGGATGGAATCTGGAGTGAGTGAAAATGCAGTGTCGGGACATATACAGCTGATCATACCTGGTGAATCTGCTTGTTTTGCGGTATGCAGTGCTCTGCTGAATTGCTCATTTCTCAAAGCGGGACTGGGAATACGAAGATTAGCTGGCTAGTGAATGTGATCCTGGCACAGCTGATGGAGTAGCTTAAAATTTTGTGTGATCTGTGGGGGTTTTTTAATACTTTTTTTTAAACTTACATTTCTTTATTTCCCCTCAGTGTGCTCCTCCACTTGTAGTTGCTGCAAATATTGATGAGAAAACATTAAAACGAGAAGGCGTTTGTGCAGCTAGTCTTCCTACAACTATGGGTGTTGTGGCAGGGGGGGGTGGAT